ATGGAGATTGTTGAATTCGCCTTTTCAACATTTATTATGATCACTGAACTAAGACAAACTTTATTGATCCACAAGGGAAATAATTTGGACACAGTAGCTCACACTTCACAATAAATATAATAACAAAGAGCAAAAATATACATAGTAATAATGACAAACTCTAAAGCAGCAGCAAAAAGAGCAAGAGACAGGTGTCAAGTAAGGTATAATTATATAAATGTAAACGTTCAAGTAAAAATAAAATCAATTGTTGTACAGTTGTAGGGAGTATTATCTGTTACATGAGAGTGAGTTATTGTACAGTTTTAGGGAGTATTATCTGTTACATGAGGGTGAGTTATTGTACAGTTTTAGGGAGTATTATCTGTTACATGAGGGTGAGTTGTTGTACAGTTGAGACCGGACCTGAGATGGGGACCAGACCAGAACTGAGACCAGGACTGAGACCGGGACCAGGACCGGGATTGAGACTGAGACTCACACTAGGACCAGACCGGGACAAGATCAGGATTGAGACCAGGACTGAGACCGGGACCAGACCAGGACCAAACCAGGACTGAGACTGGGACCAGACCGGGACTGAGACCAAGACTGAGACCAAGACTGAGACTGGGACCAGACTGGTTTAGTCCTGGTTTAGTCCGTTTTTTATTTATTTGAGACAATATTATTTGAGACAAATAATGAAGAAAATTGTTTTTTTTTTCCTTTTTCTTATTTTTGGTTTTATTTTGAAAAACAAATGAATGAATGATACAGGGATTGGAGTGCCCCACTGTGTTTTCAAACTCCAAACACCTTCACTATAATAAGTTTGATAATTTCAGCCCTCTCAACCCATCTCTTCAGAAATAAAGCTTCATTTTAGCTATTAACTTGAAAACTGCCACTTCATAACATCACAAGGTGGAACAGAGCTTTGGAGATGTAACCAGATCAATAATAGGGTTACTCAAACATGTGTGAATGAAACAAAACACAACTCCAGCTATGTTTTTTGTGGATTCATTATATGTCACAAGAGCTCACAGGTCAATTTTGCTTAATATATTTGATGAGTCATGTGTTATACAATGCAGTTCAAGCATTCATGAATGAAAGTTCCACTTTAAAAAATAAATAACCAAACTTTATAATGATTTGTTTGTGCTAGAACGCCATGGTAACTTTCTATAGTGCTGTCTCATTAAGCAAGAGGCACTGAAACTTTGTATGAAAAGATTTTGATATTTTTCCTTTGCAAAGTCCGCTCTATTTTTGTTCACTTCTCTAACTTAACTAGAGTTTTATTTTAACTCAATTTGACCTGAAGGAGTTGACTTAGTTGGAACAACAACAGGTGAGCTGATTTGTGCGCTTGAACAAGTCTCTCACACGTAAAATTGCAGTTTTTCCCACATTTTTTGTTGAAAATCAAACACCTAAACAGGACCATGGACACAGACTCCTGAAAATGTGTTATTTAAATCAGTGTTTTTTAGTTTTTCTAGTTTTTTTGTGCGCATTGTGTCACCATGGTTACTTTTGACTAGAGTTGAACAATCTATCGTTTTGGATCAATCTCAGACAATACAATTTTGGGGAACGTCAAAGCTTCGTTTTTTTGCAGCACTCCTAAAGCCCTATTTATGGATTTATGGATCTGTGTCGAGGTCTATGCACTGCGAAGTAATTCACCGCCACAACGCAAGGAAGCAAGGATTTAAACAGTGGCATTCATGTGACGTTTAACATGAACCATCTCCGACGCGATAGAAGCACAGAACAGACTCACCATCATCAGCACATCCTCTGTCACAGAAAGAACACTCATATTCCACTGAGTTGTATCGTTTAGTCCGACAAAAGCTCAAGGAGCAAGCTGTTTTTTTCAGCGCTTATAGCTTTATGCAAATTATCCATGTGGTTTTAAGTTTCATTTCTGTAAGACGTAAACAAATGTGTGCAAAGCTGCATTAAACACATTATTACACAATGTATATCGAAAGAAAGGAAAGCGGAGTACAGGAAATCACCAATCACAGCCCTTATTGTCTGCGTCGCTTCCCTTGCTGTATTCATCATTTTGGCGCGAAACCATCGGTGCAGAACTCTGATATGATGCAAGTTTCTCTGGTGTTTGCAAATGTTCATGTGCACTGAAACTTGATTTGAAAAGAAATCATAGATGAAATCGAAATCGCAATCTCTGCCAGAAAAATTGCAATTCAAACACGTACTTTTGCCCAATCTACTAATAGAGATACGTGTAGAACACCCCCAGCATACAGATACACTGCGAGTATCTTTGTATCTTATAATTTCTCGCTCTTGTAGCCTGCAGTTGCGATGTTCCTGTCCCTTTAAATCTGTGTGCTGTGTTCTTGGACAGAGGATATCGGCTCTTCATATCTTTACACTGTGATAATGACTGAGGCCCTGCACAGCCCCAGTTTAATGGATTCTCATCATAATTCTGCCTCTCCATTTCAAACACTCACAAAAGAATAATAACAAAAAACAATGGCCCAGTGGATGCAATTTGACGATTCTGTCCATTTGTAAATGAGTCATGTGTTTTGGAGAACTGCTGAAATAGATGTGTGAAAACGTGTCCTGTAAAAATCCTTGCCTTGTCATTTTGGTGAATTTTCTTCTTGTTGTTGCAAAAAAAAAAAGTGAGCTATATTTTGGCTGACTTAACTTAACAACTTTGCTTAGTTTGCTGCGTGAGTCGATAAAATTTTCACTTTCTATGAATAATAAGTGCTTTAATCAGCTGTTTGGGGGATTGATAAAAACGCTTGAAAGTGGTTTCTTAACTTTCCTTTACCAAGTTTGCTGGTCCCTTTTTTGCAGCTTTTACATGGTAGTATTTAACTAAAGGTGCACTATGTAACTTTTTGTTTGGGGTTGTACTTGCTTGTTTCTATGGATATGTCATTGCTCTGTCTGGAATGTTCCACAGTATGACATTAAATAGTTCTGCCTTATATTTATTAAATTACAGGTGGATTTGTAGCTCAAAAATATCTACAAAAACAGGTGTTCTAACTGTGAGAGGGGTTGCCTTTCCACAGATCTGACCTGTAACTTGATCTGGTTTGGCCTTCATGAAGATAGAAAGGTTTAATGCCACACTGTGAAACCTTCCAGACAAAGCAATAACTTAAGCTCATTTCTGACTACAACTATGTCAGAATTTGGAATACTCTTGACGATTTGCAAGAACCCCAGAAGTTGTAGACCGCGCACCGGCCAATCAGCGAAGAGCTGTGAAGCCATGACGTCAAACTCAAGCGCCTGTCTTTGTCCCTTTTGTGGTACAACACAACAGTAAACAAAGCGGTCGAGATGGATGTAGACGAAGACAAACATTCTGTGTTGGCAACGGTTCCCGAGATCAAGCATTTAAAGCCGGAACAAAGAGAATGTTTGGTGAATTTGATCAAGGGGAAAGATGTTATTCCCCTTCTTCCTACCAGATTTGGCGCATTACATACGTCACGACCAAATAGCAGCGATTGGTTAAATAAAAAAAGTACCCGCCTACAGTCGAGCAAACGAATCCGGAGTGAAACCGGCTGATGAATCAGGCTAATTTGATGGACCCTCCACCAGAAAAGTTACACAATGCACCTTAAGATTTGATAAATTGGACTTGGGACTCGACTTAGACTTGAATGAAGGTCAGTGACTTGAGACTTGACTTGGACTTGAGCCCTTTGACTTGAAAAGACTTGACGCTTCTCCTAAAAAAATGTATGTTTCTAGACAATACTTTTCTCTTCACAGTTGATAAATGCTGTGCTTAATTTTACAGGAACAAACTGGAACATGCCCCTCCCACTTCTGTGTTTGTTACTTTGGATGTAGCTGAAGTACTGTGATGTGGTATCTTCAAATGTACTACAATAATGTACAGTACAGTGCAGAAAAACAGAGGGAACTACACAGAACATGATCTTTCCATTTCAGTTCAGACAACACGACAAAATGACTATTATTAAGCACTTAAATCTTAAATCTTTCTTTTCTGACTGTAATGATTCACACTAAGATCTTGTCAAAACATTTAAAAAGGAAAATATAGCATTTCTACAACTCTTATATAAACACTTTTTACGTACAATTTAGCTTAAACGTCATATAAATAGCAAAAATCTAAGCTTTTTTTTTGGTACTTTGGTTTAAAGACTCAAAGCTCAAAGCAGACGACTTGGACTTGACTTGGACTTATGGGCCAGTGACTCTGGACTCGACTTGGACTTGTCTGTATTTGACTTGACTTGAGACTTTCTTGAGACTTGCAAAACAACGACTTGGTCCCACCTCTGTTATCTAGCACATCATCTTTGCCATTAATAGTTTGATTGGTGATGGTATTTGCCTACGAAGCCTGAGGTTATTGCTTCAGTTCCAGCTTTTGCCAACGCATATTGACTTTGTGCCCTTGGGCAAGACGCACACTGCCTTCTCTGTGCTTTATGAATCTGAATAAATGTACTTCATTGATTCACCAGTTCGCAGTGTCCAATCAGCGCAACCAAGCCGCAAGGTATATCGAAATCAAGACGAAAACAAACAATTTAAAAATCACAGACTGCTGTTATTTAAGTTGCATAATTTCCCATACAAAGAACTAAATATGAAGTCTAATCCTGTCTAAAAACTGGATACTTTAGGCCTTTTTTGAAATCCATGTGGTTCTTGTATTAGTTTAGCCGTTCAGATTTGAGTCTTCTGTCAAATGTTGATGCCTCTGGACCTGTTTAAAATGTGAACTTTGAACAGAATCGTACTATTAAAAACACACTGCAAATTTAATCGCAATGCTTGTCAGAAATTACAATTAGGTATTAAATCATTCAGCCCTCCTCGCACAAAAATTGAATTAAAAGTGCTGGTAAAAAGCAAATGCCATAGTTAGAATCTGTGTTGGTGTATTGCCTGTCATGGTGTAAAATATGACAAATAGGCAAGCCTTAACCCTGTTGTGTGTGTGTGTGTGTGTGTTGCAGGACGGCATGGGGAACCTGAGAATAACAGAGAAAGGCCTGAAGCTCGAGGGAGACTCTGAGTTTCTGGAGCCACTTTACGCCAAAGAAATCCAGTCCAAACCGGTGAGTTCAAATAAAAGCTTGGGAGATATGGGGGAAAAACACATGAAAACACAGACGGCATAAAGAGCCAGGGTGTCAGGATCACTACAGGTTTTATTTTGTGTTGATAGGACCAGTATCTCCAGAGAAATCCATAAAGTTTAAAGTTTGGAATGTGTTTGAACAACACATTAAACCTAAAAGCAAGAGCGCATTACGGCTAGCGACAGAAAAACATTCAGATTGTGCAGATTGAAGTTAAAACTTGAAATGCAAGGACAGGAGGTTCTGACTCTGAGATTTCACGTAAACAAGAGAGCGGTGACGCATCTTCAGCTCCCTGTCGATGAAAATGCGCTCGTCTTATCATCAAGATCGATCTAAGTTTAGATTACGACCTGTCAAGCTCAAACTAAACTGGTGAGCCCAAACCAGTCCACTTCAAAGAGTACAAATCTTGTCCGAACTAGTGAGTATAAACCTTGTGCAAACCAGTCCAAGCCCACGAGTACAAATCCAGTCCAAACAAGTCCAAAACAGAGAGTACAAATCTAGTCCAAACCAGTGAATATAAATCCAGTCCAAAGAAGTGAGTACAATTCCAGTCCAAACCAATGAATATAAATCCAGTCCAAACCAGTGAATATGAATCTAGTCCAAACCAGTGAGTATAAATCCAGTCCAAAGCAGTCCAAACTACTGAATACAAAACTAATCCAAACTACTGAATACAAAACTAGTCCAAACTACTGAATACAAAACTAGTCCAAACTACTGAATACAAATCCAGTCCAAACCAGTGAGTACAAATCTAGTCCAAACCAGTCCAAACCAGTCCAGAAAAGCACTCAGAGAGCGCAGACCTCGCAAGGACTACCCCCATTTTTTATAAAATTGCGATAAAATCAGTCTTCTGGATCAGATCCGGATCAGCCTTTGGAATATGAAAGAGGATCGCATTGTCCATCCCTGAGTCAAATTTCATGGGGTTTGGTCAATAATTAACCGAGATATTGAGAAACAAAATTTTTGGCCCCATTTACCACAATGTTAACTAAAATTTCAAAGTGATTCAGAATCCAGGATTTTTCACATTTCCAACAAATCCTGAAAATTTCATCAAAATCGGTCTATAACTTTTTGAGTTATGTTGCAAACAAACAAACAAACAAACAAACAAACAAACAGACAAACGCCGGCAAAAACATAACCTCCTTGGCGGAGGTAACTAGGGATGCACCAATCCAGTTTTTTTTTTAGTCACAGTACCAATATTGATACTTTTACTGTACGTATTGGTTGATATTTGCTGATATCAGTGTCGGGAGGAAAATCACACTTATTTCTTTAAAACACAGTGAAACTTATTACATAAAAGATCCATTTGTTAATTATGTAACTATTATTTATCCTTCACATAATTTCTGAACAGCTTGGTATGAAAAAAGTTCAAATATTATGAGACGCCTGTAAATAAACTTATTACATCCAATTAAAAGACCAACCAGGATCTTGTTTGAACTGGTATTTTAGAACCGATTCCTGATCAAGCTCAATTTTAAATACCAGTATTGGTATCAAAACTAATATTTAGTATAGTAATATTGAATGCCAATTAAACAAGTCTATAATATTTCACTTATTCTGTTTGAAATGTACTAATCCAAATGTACATTTACAAAAATTCAATATAATTTTAAGTTTTTTAGTTAATCTTCACATTTTCTGTTTCAACCAACTTATGCTTAAAAATATAAAGTGAAATAAGAAAAATAACGTTTTATAAGCGGTCAAGAAATGTCAACTCTTTCCAGCTGTTTACACATCCAGGTTTAATCACAACATATTAGAGCTATGGATTTAAATGGACTTTATTGTCACTGTGCCCTTAAGCAAGACACTTCACAAACCTTTCTAGTAGTTGTTGGCAAATTACAACTGTACACTTAACACTGTAAACCTGAACGTTCAAAGTAATTAAATAGATTAGAAGTTGTGTATACTCAAAGTTTAGAAATAGCCCTATGAACTTAATTATGTCAAGTTGCTGTTACATGTACTTCTTTTTGAGTAATTTTAACTTTTTTTTTTTTTTTTATTAAAGCGAACTATTGTGGGTATAAGTGAGTGTACTTTAAAAACATAAATGAGGTACAACTTAGTAGAATTAAATAATTAAAAAATAATAGGTAATGTGTGTATAAAGGACCACATGTATACTATAATGTGTAATGTCTGTACTGTAAGTATGTATGTATTATTAAACGATATAATTTTTATATAATATTGATTAGACTAGTAAATCCCCAGACTTTCACATGGACGACCTGGGTTCAAGTCCCCCTCCTACAGTGTGTATAATGTGTGTATACTATAATGTGTGTAGATACAGCTGGATAGACTGGACTTGTGTGTACAATGTGTGTACAAAAATCATGGATTACATATAAAATGGAAAATGAATGGAACTATTCCAGTGGTTTGAAAAAACTAACTGCAAATATTTGGGTTGAGCTAAATGACTTTTAATTCAGCTGTTATCAAAAGGTACAAGTAGCAAGTCCAACCTTTTAAGTTGTGGAAGATTGTGACTTTTAAGTTTATCAATATTTAAGGTAAACGATTGCCTAGATTTGTTTGAGTTCTGGTAACTTATTCGGGTTTACAGTGCAGTAATTATTGTTCACATTGTTTTATTTATGTAAGTTTTATTCTGGTTTTGAATCCGTGTTGTGAGTCTGTCAGAAACATTGCATCAGCGCCGTAGTACGTTGGTTTTCGTGAGGGAGAGATGGAGAAAGAGAGAAGGAGAGAAAAGAGGGAGAGACGGTGAATTCTAAAACAACAGAAGTGGCAGGGGAGCTCCTGTCAGTCTGGCTGAAGACAGGTGAAGGGCTGCAGAAAAAGACTCACCGCAGACATGTCCAGTTTTATGTGTGTACTGTTGTTATGACCGGCTCTACTCCGTGACAACCAGAACACAGCAGCTGTAACTTAAAGGAGCACTGTGTAACTTTTCAGGTTAGCGGTCCGCCATCATTGATATGCTTTTGTTTTGCCTGTAAGGTTCCGCAATATGGTATTAAATGTACAGATGCAGTTAGTCAATTATAGGTGGTTTTAGTGCTCAAAAAATACCTTTAAAAACATGCTTTCTGACTATGACTGTAAACTGGCCTGTGACATCTCCTACATGTCTCTATGGAAACTGATATGAAATTGATACCATACTTTGGAATATTGTAGGCACAGCAATAACATCTGCATGGACAAAGTTCCTTCGTGCATGTTTAAACATCAGACTTATTTACAGTTTATAGAAATAAAACAATGAGGTGTCAGTGTGTTAATGTAAAAAGTGTCTTTCAAAGAAATATTAAAAAGGTGGATATTGACGCAAATGGATCACCATGGAAACCCAGCCCATGCAATAAAAGGATAAAAATACAGAACTATTTGTGTTTACGACATTGATCACTTCCATTTCTTAAAGGGAGATTTTGGGATTAGACAAACTTGGCTGTAGTTTTCTGGAGGAAGAGCTTATCTCCTCAAGATGTTACTGCTTTTTCTGGAATAATCCACAGTATGGCATTAAACATATGCTTTTATTTACTCAAAGTTTTCAATAGCGATGCATTGATCCAGCTTTTTCAGTTCTGATACCAATTCTGATATTACAGCTTTAAGTATTTGCCGATACCCGAAATCAACTGATACCAGTGCAGGGACTGAAAGCACCATTTATTTCTTTAAAACAAAACAAAAAAATCCAAATCCAAATGTGTTATGTTATGTTCTTTATCAGTCAAGTAACTAGAGAACAACTTTATATAAATAAAAATTCAAACATTCTGAGACTTTCTTGGCCAACTACAAGCAGTAAATAGTCCTAATACAGTAATTTATACGGGTAAATATTGACGGAACTGATATTTGGAAATTGATATCTTATCTGCAAAATTTTTTAGTATCAGCACCAATCTCCGATACCAGTATCATAACGGTGACTCACTAGTATTTTATTCTTAAAAAATCCCTTGAAAAACACAGCTTATGGCCCTGTCGCACCTTGATGATTTAGCCAGCGTATGCCGACCTACCAGAATTTCCTTAAAACATTGGCACTCATTGTTTTTTGGTTTTTTTTTTTTCCAATTTTGGGCGTATACTTAAGTATTTGTAAAAAGTTGGACATGTACATAACATATTAGTAACTTATATAAAAAGTTTTGATATCTTATATATAACTTATACCAACTAATGTTTAGTGAGTTGCCAGGTTCACAACTGGCAACTCACGATCCACAAGTCTAATTTATGCACAGCGCAAGGCAACGTATCACCGATGCTCACGATCCATGGTCTCAAACCAGTTCCTTCTCGGCTGTTGATCTCTTCTCTCCTGACTTTATTGGCACCCAACTGGTACAGTGACAAATCGATGAGATCACGCTCATGTTGGAGGACAGCAAGTACTGTATTTTCGGGGCTATTAGATATGCTCTTAAGCCTCTAACCCCAGCAAAAAACGACCGCGTGCCTCGCAATTCAGAGCACCCCATACACAAATCCACTCGGGTGTCCCAGCACGACTTCAGTAAACTACAAAGCCGCACCACCCACAGAACACGCAAATACACACTGAGCAGACAGTGACCGTCCAGTGAAACACACACGCATCCAGAGCACCTAATAGCCTGTAAAATACGGTATGTGTTCTCGTCTCAGCCTTGCCGGATCCTCCATCTCTCGGGTGATACGTGTAGCGGGTGGTACCACGGGGTCTGCTCACCATGAAGTCTGGAGGAGTACTGATGGTTTCCCCATTTTTATATACCAATTTCCCTACACGCTGCCAATATGCCATCATACGGGAGCTATAAGTTAGAAACAGGTTCGTAAGTTCTGTGGTCGTCGGAACATGTTAAATTTGTCTGCATACGTCAAAATGCGTTGGAAGAAAGTTCGATATAATTTACACATAGGTTCAAAGCATGTTATAAGTTATAACATTAAAG